CCAAAACTAACAAAATGATGTTCAACAGTGACAAATGCAAGATACTCCACTTTGGCAGAAAAAACGAAATGCAAAGATACAGAATGGGGGATGCCTGGCTCGAGAGCAGTACGTGTGAAAAAGATCTTGGAGTCCTCGTGGACAACAAGTTAAACATGAGCCAACAATGTGATGTGGTGGCAAAAAGCCAATGGGATTTTGGCCTGCATCAATAGGAGCATAGTGTGTTAGATCTAGGGAAGTAATGCTACCCCTCTATTCTGCTTTGGTTAGACCACACCTGGAATATTGTGTCCAATTCTGGGCACCACAATTCAAGAGAGATATTGACAAGCTGGAATGTGTCCAGAGGAGGGCGACTAAAATGATCAAGGGTCTGGAGAACAAGCCCTATGAGGAGCGGCCTAGGGAACTGGGCATGTTTAGCCTGAAGAAGAGAAGGCTGAGAGGAGATATGATAGCCATGTATAAATATGTGAGAGGAAGCCACAGGGAGGAGGGAGCAAGCTTGTTTTCTGCTTCCTTGGAGACTAGGACGCAAAGGAACAATGGCTTCAAACTACAAGAGAGGAGATTCCATCTGAACACGAGGAAGAACTTCCTGACTGTGAGAGCCGTTCAGCAGTGGAACTCTCTGCCCCGGAGTGTGGTGGAGGCTCCTTCTTTGGAAGCTTTTAAACAGAGGCTGGATGGCCATCTGTCAGGGGAGATTTGCATGCAATATTCCTGCTTCTTGGCAGGGGGTTGGACTGGATGGCCCATGAGGTCTCTTCCAACTCTTTGATTCTATGATTCTATGATTCTATGATTTACTGTTATGATTTTAGAGTTTTTTTTTAATACTGGTAGCCAGATTTTGTTCATTTTCATGGTTTCTTCCTTTCTGTTGAAATTGTCCCTTCCTTGATTCCTTTCGCTTGCGCTTTTATATTTACTTGTATTGTTGCAAGAAAAGCACTCCTCCGCCTCCTCCTCTAAGATCTTACATCACTGCCTACATTTTGCAACTTTATGAATCTGATTAAAACAAACCATTGGTGTCTTCCTAAAAGAAATTGCGTTCCAAATCCTCCCTCCTCTGAATCCCACAGCTCCTCCCAAAAAGGTTTCCTCAATGTGTTTTTCAAGATCACATTCAACCTTGTACCTAAGTGATCTAAAAGAAACCCAACCCAGTCTTTTAGCTGTTGTGGTTATGAGTCAGGTGTTTAAAGGTTGCAAAGGCTAAAAAAGGAAGTGATGATTTATTTAAGGGAGGTGAGCAAGGGCTTCTGACTATAAAAACAACTTATTCAAATCCCCATCACTAATAAATAATGGACCTTAAACTGCATATAGATTGTTGGCCATGCTGATAAATCCCAGATTTTTATGATGAAATCTAATTTATTTATTTATTTGAGGCAGTCGCACAGTTCAAGAAGCCCTGACATTATTATTTGATGCATTACTAAATTTAGCCTGCAATTTTATTCATGTTGATTTGGCAATTCTATGCATATTGACCTGAACTCACTGCACTTACTTTAAGGCAGCTATCATAAATCTGGATATAATTGCATGAGAAAAACATTTTTTTCTAACTAAAAGTTTCCTTCGTTTCTTCCTCCAAAATACACTCTCACGGCAGTCAGTGGAATAGGCTGCCTTGGAGTGTGGTCAGGTATCCTTCTCTGGAGGCTTTTCAACAGAGTTAGGTGGTTATCTGTTGGGAGTGCTTTGATTGTGTGATCCTGCATGGCAGAATAGAGTTGGACTGCATGGTCCTTGTGGTCTCATCTAACTCTGTGATTTATAAAAGACTATAACTGGTACAAGTTAAGTCACATCTCTTCAATCCTAACCCAAGAACTCAACCTCTTACATTTATATATCTCTAGTCCTAGACTTACACTGTACTCTGGTATTGACCTGTATGCTGGTTTTGACCTATAAAGCTCTATACGGTTCGGACCCAGCTTACTTGTCTGAACACATCTGCCCCTACGTCCCATCTCACAATCTAAGATCATCCGGGGAGGCCCTGCTCTCGCTCCCGTCAACATGCGGCTGGCAGGGACGAGGAGCAGGGCCTTCTCGGCTGTGGCCCCCCACCTATGGAACATACTACCAAAGGAGGTAAGATCTGTTCCCTTGCTCCTGACCTTTAGAAAAAAATTAAAATCATGGTTCTAAGACCAGGCCTTCGGACAATATATGTATGCAGCTTTTAGTGGGACAAGGACTGGAAAGGCGACTCAACTGATGAGATTGTTTTATGGTTTTAATAACTGTTTTGATATTTCATGATGTACTGTTTTTAATATGATATATAAATATATAAACATTTATTACGGTCAATGACCAGCATCAAAAAAGTACAAGTGACAGGCTGTGCAAGTGTCAGAGTACGCACACATGTACAAGAACAAGTACAGAAGTATACAAGCATCAGGTTACACACACATCCAGATATCAGGAAACAATGTTAAAACAGAGTTAAAAACCCAATATTAAATAAGGTAATTAAAGTGGTGTTAAACATTTAAATACTAAAATATCAATGATAAAATATATGTTAAAACTTTCTAAGTCGGTGTCAGCATCTTGGGGCGACAAGCCATAGCTGCTGCACAGAAGCTAGCAACCCTGACAGTGACCTTGGGGTGTTGGTCGGACAGGAGATAATCTGTATAAAACCTTGCAGATCTCCCAAGGTATGGCCACAGCTGGCACACTAGTTTTAACTGTGCAAAAGCTCCCCTGGCCACCGTCGAGACCTGGGTCTTCTGGCTCAGCGATGAATCCCAGGATCACTTCTAAGTCTTTTGGGGGAGCGTAACCCCTTTCACCACAGGCTGTAACCCTATGCCCTGTTCGGCCTTTCGACTGACCAGTAGGGCCTCTGTCTTGTCTGGATTCAATTTCAATTTGTTATTTATTTATTTACAGTATTTATATTCCACCCTTCTGACCCTGCAGGGGACTCAGGGGGGCAGATCACAATGCACATATGCATAGCAAACATTTAATGCCATAGACACACAACATATATAGACAGAGGCTATTTAACTTTCCAGCTTCATGAGGGTATGTCTTTTGAATTCTGGCCACTAGAGGAGCTGTCACTTCACCAACCACTTGTGACACTGATGGAGTACTTCCTCAGTCTTTTGCACACTGCTGGAGAGTTTTTGTGGCATCGTAAATTAGTTAAATTAGTCTCCCTGCATAAGCTGTACCTATATTTCCTACTTGACAGATGCAACTATCTTTCGGGCTGCAATGGTCAACAGCAAGCTAGACAAATGGCTGGAAGATCACTCTGACCAGGGCTGGCTTCGAACTCATGACCTCTCAGTCTGTAGTGATTTAAATGTAGCTGACTCCCAACCAGCTGTGCCACAACCTGGTCCTGTTAGCCCTCATCCAGTCCAACACAGCTGCCGGTGATAGTATGATAGCTGCGACGGAAGCTCTGAGTGTTATGCATATTCCGCAATGGCGGTTGTAAATAAAGGAAGGGACCACGTGGTCCAGAGAGGAGGCGGAGTGAGAACAGGGAGAGTGGCACACTGAGGGCAGGAATATACTTTGTAGTTGCGTTTGGTGGAAGGATAGAAAGGAGGAGAGGGTTAAGATAAGATTTAGTGTAAGCTTCAGGGTAAGGTTAAGGGTTAGGGTTAGGGGTTAGGGGTTAGGCTTAGGGTAAGGTTTAGGGTTTTGGTTAGGATTAGGGTTAKGGTAAGGGTTCAGTTAGGGTAAGGTTTAAGGTTTGGGTTAGGGTTAGGATTAGGATAAGGTTTAKGGTACGGATTAGGATTAGGATTAGGGGTTAGGGTTTGGGTAAGGTTTAGGGTTAGTATCAGGGTTAGGGGTTGGGGAAAGTTTACGGTTCCGCTTAGGGTAAGGTTTACGGTTAGGGTAACATTTAGGTTAAGGGTTTGGTTTATGATTAGGAGTTAGGTTTCAGGTAAAGTTTAGGGTTAGGATCAGAGTTAGGGTTCAGATTAGGGCAAGGGTTCAGGTTAGGGTAAGGGTTTGGGTTAAGATTAGGGGTTAGGGCTCAGGTAAAGTTTASGGTTAGGATCAGGGTTAGGCTTTGGGTTAGGGTAAGAGTTCGGGTTAGGGTAAGAGTTTGGGTTAGGATTAGGGATAGGGTAAGGTTTAGGGAAAGAGTTTGGGTTGGGATTAGGGKTTAGGGCTCGGGTAAGGTTTAGGGTTAGGATCGGGGTTAGGGTTCGGGTTAGGGTAAGAGTTTGGGTTAGGGTAAGGTTTAGGGTAAGGGTTTGGGTTAGGATTAGGGATAGGGTAAATTTTAGGGTAAGGGTTTGGGTTGGGATTAGGGGTTAGGGTTCAGGTAAAGTTTAGAGTTGGGATCAGGGTTAGGGTTTGGATTCGGGTAAGGTTTAGGGTTAGGGTTAAGGTTAGGGTTAGGATTAGGGGTTAAGGTTAGGGTTAGGAGTAGCAGTTTGGGTTAGGGTAAGGTTTAGGGTTAGGGTTTGGGTTAGGATTAGGTTTAGGGTCCGGGTTAGGGTAAGGTTTAGGGTTAGGGCTTGAGTAAGGTTTAGGGTTAGGGTTTGGGTTAGGATTAGGGGTTAGAGTTAGGGCAAGGTTTAGGGTAAGGGTTAGGATTTTACCATTAAAGTACTCTTACATTACTTCTGTAATATCCATCTTGATCCCGTGTTCCCTTCTGCATTGCGCAGAAGGGAATGTATCGTTCGGAACTTCCAGACCCAGCTATCATACTATTACCCAGCTGCCAAGCACGGGTTCAAGGTCTGAATAGCCTCCTTAGTGACAGGTGGGCAGGAGTGACAGATTTGGACGTCATCTGTGTGCAGATAACACCTTACCCCGAAACTTAAGCAGCTGAGGGGGGAAAGGAAGGGTCCTCAGGCTGAGGCTGTTAGGAATGGTGGGAGTTGAAGTCCCAAAGTCTGGGAGGGCCAGAGTTGGCCCATGCCTGGCGTAGTGGAGGAGGGAAGGCGGGGTCCTGGTGCACATGCCCTGGCACGCCTCCCTCCCTCCCTCCCGCACGCGGCGCCCGGTGCCAAGGGCTCAAGAGCGGCGGGCTAATGCTTTGCGCCATTTCGGGGGAAAGGATTAATTTGGCCGGGTAATCCTTGTCCTCTCCCGCCCGCCCGCCTCTCGCTCTCTGCCTTCCTTTCTCTCGCTTCGGGACGGCGCAGGAGAGGGACCCGGACCCAAACCCAGGAGCGGAGCGAGAAGGAGCCAAGCGGGGCGCCAAAGCCAGGGAAGGAGGCGCTGGGCTGCTCTTTGGGAGCGAAAGTTGTCTGGCCCGGGGCGGAGGCGAGCTTCCTAGCTGCGAGGACCCGAGAGGGAAGGGGAAGGAGTCTCCCAAAAGGAGCCCGCGCCGCCCTTTCCCTTTTCCAACCCAAGGAGAGAGGGAAAGCAAGAGGGAGGGAAAGGAGGAGGAGGAGGAGGGGATGAAACGATGAAGCGGAGGAGGACTCGTTGGGAGAAGGCAGCGCAGAAGCCGGGAAACTTTGCGGCGGGATGCTGAGCTCCCTTCCGCGGCTGCCTTCCTAAAGCGCGCTCAGCGCATCTTCTCTCTTCCCGGTGGGATTCTCAAGGGCTGCGCTTCTCCTCCAGCAGATCTCCTTGGGAGCCGAGCCCAGCATCTGATCTCTTCATTGATTCCCCGACCCATTTCCCCCCTCCTGGGCCCGGCCATGGGCTCCCGAGGAGGCGTCGGGAGGATGGGGCTGCCCTCCAAGTGAGCCGGGCGCCTCGCTTTCCGAGGGGGAGTCGTACCAAAAGCCACTTTGGGGCCCGAGAGACGGAGGGCAGCCGACGGCCATGGGTCTGGAGGGCCAGCCGGGGCCCGCGTCCAAGCCGGGGCCCTTCTTCCAGCTCAGGAAAGTTCGCAAGAGGCGCGAGATGCTCCTCCAACAGCTGGGCTTCATCTGCGCCATCCTCTTCTTCGCCTGGTGCATGGCCAGCCTCCTCTCCAAGCTCGGTAAGCCTGCCGGAGTTGCCTTCCTTTGGAGGTCTGGCAGCAGGCGCCGTTTGGCCATCTGTCGGGAGGGCTTCGCTTGCGCCGCCCTGGCATGAGTGCAGAATGGGGCTGGACTGGATGGCCCCCGGGGTCCCATCCAACTCCAGGGTTCTAAGGAGCGCACAGGTGTAGGGAAGACCAAGGGCGTGTCTGCACTGCAGAACTCGTTTAGTTCAAGCAGACGCTGGATGAGCATCTGTCGGGGGTGCTTGGAATGGGATTTTCCTGCTTCTTGGCAGGGGGTTGGACTGGATGGCCCACGAGGTCTCTTCCAACTCTATAATTCTATGATTGCCATGCTGCCTTTCTTGGAGGTCTGGCAACCGTTTGGCCATGTGTCGGGAGGGCTTTGGTTATTTAGCCCTGGCATGAATGCAGAATGGGGCTGGACTGGATGGCCCCCGGGGTCCCTTCCAACTCTAGGGTTCTAAGGAGCGCACAGGTGTCGAGAAGGCACTGCAGAACTCATTTCAGTTCATGTAGCGCAGTGGTTCTCAACCTATGGTTCCCCAGGTGTTTTGGCTTACAGCTCCCAGAAATCCCAGTCAGTTTACCAGCTATTAGGATTTCTGGGAGTTGAAGGCAAAAATATCTGAGGACCCACAGGTTGAGAACCACTGATGTAGAGGCTGGATGGCCATCTGTCAGGGGGTGCTTTGAATACAATTTTCCTGCTTCTTGCCAGGGGGTTGGACTGGATGGCCCACAAGGTTTTTTCCAACTCTATGATTCTATGACCCCAGCTTCTGCCAACCTAGCAGTTCGAAAACATGCAAATGTGAGTAGATCAATAGGTACCATGTCAGTGGGAAGATAACGGCACTCCATGCACTCATGCCAGCCACATGACCTTGGATGTGTCTGTGAACAACGCCGGCTCTTTGGCTTAGAACTGGAGATGAGCACCAACCCCCAGAGTCAGACATGACTGGACTTTATGTCAGGGGAAAACCTTTACCTTTATAAACCTTACCTATGACCCCACTTGCACTGCCAGGGCTCCATGCTCTGGAATGGTGGGAGTTGAGATTTTGGGTTGCTGTGAGTTTTCCCGGTCTGTATGGCCATGTTCTAGAAGCATTCTCTCCTGACATTTCACCTGCATCTGTGGCAAGCATCCTTAGAGGTTGTGAGGTCTGATGGAAACTTGGCAAGTGAGGTTTCTATATCTGCGGAAAGTCCAGGATGGGAGAAAGAACTCTTGTCTCTTTTATGGCTGGAATCACTGGGTTGTTGTGAGATTTCCAGGCTGTTTGTCCATGTTCCAGAAGCATTCTCTCCTGCCGTTTCATCTAGGAAAATTGGGTTTATATATCTGTGTAATAATGCCCAGGGTGGAAGAAAGAACTCTTGTCCTTTTGAGGTAGCTATGAATGTTTCAATTGTCCACCTTGATTAGCATTTAATGGCCTAGCAGTTTCAAGGTCTGGCTTCTTACTGCCTGGGGGGAATCATTTATTGGAGGTGATTAGCTGGCCCTGATTGTTTCCTGTCTGGAACTACCTCTTTTTTGAGTGCTCTTCTTTATTTACTGTTATGATTTTAGAGATTTTTTTTTAATACTGGTAACCAGATTTTGTTCATTTTCATGGTTTCTTCCTTTCTGTTGAAATGGTCTTTTTCCCACCCCGGACATCCCACAGATATATAAATCCCATTTTCCTAGTTTCCAACAGACCCCACAACCTCTGAGGATGCCTGCCATAGATGCAGGCAGAACATCAGGAGAGAATGCTTCTGGAACATGGCTGTACATCCCAAAAAACTTACAAAAACCCAGTGATTTCGGCCATGAAAGCCTTTGACAATATAAAGGAAGGGAATGTAGTTTGTGGTTTTGGTGAGCAGGCCAGCACTTTTGGGTAGAGAAGGCAGAAGACCTTGGAAAACTACAACCCTCAGGATCCCATACCATTGAAAGTGAAGCCAAAATACATACATTCTACAATGACAACAGCAATGTTATGACTTGCCTCCCCTTGTGACCCAAGGCAGGGTTAAAACAGAGAGATCAAACACACATACCAAGATACACATAGGTAAAATGCAAGTTAACGTTCACAATGTACGTAGCTGCATCTTGCCTTATATTTTCCTATAGGGAAACAAGCTGTCCCTTGTGCGGCTTCCTAGGTGAAGGGTTCCAATTCTCTCTGGATCCCGGTGCATCTACATCAGGCATGGGCAAACTTTGGCTTTCCGGGTGTTTTGGACTTCAACTCCCACAATTCCTGGCCTCAGGCCCTTTCCTTTTCCCCCTCAGCCGCTTAAGAAAAGAAAGGGGCCTGAGGCCAGGAATTGTGGGAGTTGAAGTCCAAAACACCCGGAATGCCAAAGTTTGCCCATGCCTTATCAACACTGTAGAATTATTGTGGTTTGACTCTACTTTTCCTGCCTTGGCTCCTTGCAGTGGAGTCCTGGGATTTGTAGCTTGGTGAGGCTCTGGCACTCTTCGGCAGGAGAAAGCAAAAGATCTTGTCGAATCGCAACTCCCAGGACACCTTAACTTTGAGTCGCTACAATTAAAGTGGGGTCAAACTGCATTAATTCTACTGCGGAGATGCACCCTTAAAACAGACACCATGATTCAGAGAGAAGACTGGTGCCTCCCAGAAATACAGCTTCCATGATTCTATAGCATGGAGCCATCAAAGATCAAGGCGTGTCAGACTGCATTCATTTTATAGTGTAGATGCATCCCAGGAACAGAACAGAAAAGTCATAATGGTTCATCTGTGGTCCTCCATGGACCTTCCTCTTTGGCTGGGATACAAGGCGGACTACAGTCTCCATGTGCCCCAGTTTGAATAAGCATGTTCAGAATCATACATTATCAATGTCTAGAGCAGTGGTTTCAAACTTTTCTAATACCATGACACCTTAATACAGTTCCTCATGTTGTGGTGACCCTGAAACCATAACATTATTTTCATTGCTACTTCATAACTATAATTTTGCTACTGTTTTGAATTGAATTTTTAATATCTGATATGCTGGATGTATTTTCATTCGCTGGACCAAATTTGGCACATATACCTGATATTCTCAAATTTGAATACTGGTGGGGTTGGGGGGATTGATTTTTGACATTTAGGAGTTGTAGTTGCTGGGATTTATAGTTTGCCTACAACCAAAGAGCATTCTGAACTTCACCAACGATGGAATTGAACCAAACTTGGCACATAAAACTCCCACAATCAACAGAAAATACTGGGAGAGTTTGGTGGGCACCGAGTTTTGGAGTCCACCTACATCCAGAGAACACTGTGGACTCAAACAATGATAGATCTGGACCAAACTTATTTATTATTATTTATTTATTTACTATATTTGTATACCGCCCTTCTCAGCCCGCAGGCGATTCAAGACGACTTACAGAGGCAACAATTCAATGCCCAACAACACCATAAAACATTTAAAACATTTAAAAACATTAACATATAATATATAACCATAACAAGATCAATAAGACATAACTTAGCATGAATACTCAATATGCCCAAATGTGAACACTAGTGGAGTTTGGGGAAAATAGACCTTGACATTTGGGAGTTGTAGTTGCTGGGATTTATAGTTTACCTCCAATCAAAGAGCATTCTGAACCCTTACCAATGATAGAATTGGGCCAAACTTCCCACACAGAACCCCTATGAGACCAACAGAAAATACTGTGTTTCCTGATGATCTTTGGTAACCCCTCTGGCAGTCCCCTCATGCCCCCCCCCCCAGGTTGATAAATGCTGATCGAGAGAATTAAGGGTTCCCCACATTTGGGTGTTGCTTTTAGTAACTGGGATTCAAAAATATCCTAGCCTTGAAAGTTGGAGGTTCCTCCTAGCCCTTGTGACTACTCACTGCTGATGAGTTCATGCTCAATGATTGTTTTCTCATTTCAATGCTGTCCACGTCATCACTACATCTTGTGGCAGTGAGTTCCATACGTTTTGAAGTGTGTGAAGAAGTACATCCAGAATTAGCTTCTAGTAGAAATAGTGTTTAGGTTCTTCTTACAGCATATAGGTGTGTTCATACAGAAAGTCTTCTATTTTCAAAGGGATCTACTCTCAGTTAAATATGCTTTGGGATTGCAGGCTTAGTCACTTCAGGGATGAGTCTTAATATAAAGGAGCACATGCCAAATGCAGGAGAGTGGCTGGAAGTGTTTGCACATTTCTCCTTCAATACTTAAACAGATCACTCCTGCAACAGTCAGGGGACTCATGCATTGGAACCGATTCCTTTCTTGTAAATCTCAGAGTCAGATCTGGAGCTGTTGGGTACGTGGGACACCTTATCGCAGATGAAATGGAATCAGGAACCCAACTTAACAATGATTTTGTGAGCTGAAAATATAAAGCGAATGATAGTGGTTGAGGATTATTTCCAATGAGTCCATTGGAGATCACAGAAAGCTTGGTGTGTGTGTGTATGAGGGTCAGTGATAAATAATAGGTGACTTCAGGGGGTGACTTTTATTACTTGGTACAGTGCATAAAAGTGAATGAACTTTCATTAGTTATGTGAAGCTTGGTAACCCTCCTGCCCCCCCCCCCCCCCCCCCGAACCCAATTCTGGGAATCTTCTGTTCTCTCCCTGTCTCTCTTGCTCTTTCCATCAGCTTAGAGTCCTAATTCCAAAATGGACAGATTAGAATTAGGTTGCCAGATCAACCGCTTTAAAACATAACAAAAGGCAGCTGTGGGGTTTTGCTGCCTGCTGACTAGAATCATAGGATCATAGAGTTGGAAAACACCGCAAAGGCCATCTAGTCCAACCACATCCTGCCATGCAGAATCACACAATCAAAGCACTCCATCCAGCCTCCTTAAAAGCCTCCAGAGAAGGAGACTTAATCTATTTAGATTTGTTTTCTTCCAGAACTGCAGACTAAATACTTCTTGTTCCATGCCTTCCAGTAACTTCTGACCTAAGGTGACTCTTACATTGAGTTTTCTGAGCTG